AGCTTAGTGAAATACTTGATTACTTATCCATTTCCTGAACTCACCAGCAATACTGCAATACTCACACTAAGGTGTGTCACCATGTTTATACCTCCTTATTCAATTCCAGCAACATGATTATCACTATTGTTTACTATTATAAACAGTTGTTTGTAAAACTATTCATCTATCCTACAATGTGATCTGACTACTCTGTTAACAAAGTTATCTACAGATCTTATGTATATGTGTCAAGCAAAACATTGTTGTAATGCATTATCTATTTGAAAATAAAAATTTGAATATAAAAAAAAAAAAAAAAATCTAGTCTAAACTGTTTTAACGGCAAGTTGTAACACTACAAAATGTGGATCCATTAGTTCAGGCTTCCCCAAACTCCAGCCCTCCAGATGTTGCTGAACTACAACATGATTCTATGAATGAAATAGATAGGCTGAGAATCATAGGAGCTGTAGTTCAGCAACATCTCGAGGGCCGGAGTTTGGGGAAGCCTACATTAGTTATTTGCGACTACTGTGATCAAGGCGGTGGCCGAAATGTTGGGGTATGTTTGTCTCCATACAGTATACAATTTCTTTAGGTAACCTTGTTGAACTTTATTTATGTGGATTTAGGTGTGGATACTTTGCACTTTATCTTTATCGCACTTTTGATTGTATACAGTATATTTATGACATGATATATTGTATCTATATATTTTTACATGAAATGGTGTGCTGTGGCTTTCTTCTATTTAAATGTGGAAGCAGCCCAGGTGGTGGAATACTTATGTAAATAATATCGTGTGTCCTATAGCTGTCTCAATATATAGCTGCAAAGTCTACACATATAACCGATGATCATAGTATGTCATACTCAAAAACACTCGTCATTACTCATCTAACATATTTACGAGCCCAGATTCCCAGTCTGGCAGTATATCTGTTCGTATTTGGTGGAATTGTTTCTAATGAAACAGAAACTGTTTTCCCATCTGAGCATCTACGTCCCATATTAGAACCTCACTGCGGCTGAAATGGCTCTTTTATTTGGAAGCAGGGCTGGAGTAGAAGGTTCCTGGCAATCCCCCTGTGTTTGTTTGTTTGACGTTGCTGGGTACACACACTATCATAAGGTGCTGGGATCTCGGCCAGCCTGGTACTTGCAGCAAAAAGCCGGAGGGGGTGAGGGAGAGACATCTAGATACAATGTCTGTATATGGAGAGAGAACAAGTGAAATGTTTAAAGGGGGGTGACTTGCATCAGCAGATAGAATATAGGAAGACAGATAAAAGATGTTCGGAAGAGAGAGATCAAAGACAAATATGTTGGCCTTTAAAAGAGATGACAAGAAACAGGATACACTATGTAGTTTATTTAAAAATGTAGTTTAGTTTTAAAAGGAAGTTCACAGATGAAGCACAACATACTTCATAATCCACCCGTTTTAATATTATTTACTGGTTTATAGGGGTGCTGCTTGGGAGAGCTGACCTGGGACGGAGCATCAAGTCGAGTCCTGAAAAGCTCTGAATCTTGATTATTTATCCTTTCATTGTTAGCCAATAGTCCTCTATAATATTGGGAAATGGCATCTCCATATATATAATCTGTGACAGTGCCAATTTAAAGGAACTGTATTGGCACCAGAATCACTAAGACTTAATGTAGTAATTCTTTGTCATATAACCTGTCCCCACAGTCTGGGCATTGAAAGTGCAGGTTTGTCCTCTAAACGGCAGTGTTTACATTTCTGACTAATGCCACCTCTAGCGGCAGTCACTCTGACTGCGACTTCATGGGCTTCCTGGGTTCTAAGATTGCGCATCCGACATTCCGCATCTCTGTGCTCGACATGGAGGAGCTGAACGCTCCTCCTATTTTTGCCACTTCAAATTTGTCAGTCTTTTATGAAATTTATATTGCTGTCAAAAAACGGCAGAATTGGAACAGAGAAAAAAAAACTATTTTTAGACAATTTTAACAGCAATTTACTAATTATGAACAGATCAAAGACTAAAGACAAAAGATACTTTCAGCAAACTTTGATAAATCTCCCCCAGGGTGTCTTAATTTGATCCACAGGACATGTTAGGGTGTAGCTTTGGATGTAGGGAATCTTGTAGGGCGGGGTTTGCGTAGTGTCTTAAGTCAATATATATTTGGGAGGGGACCAAATAATTCCCCCTTGGGCTGAAGTCCATGTTACTTTTCCATGTAGCTGCGTCCAGCTAAAGTAATCCTTAAATAAGCACAGAGTCACTGAACGATGGGTGTTGGGAGTGACAAAATGCAGTAAGAAGGTTGTTGACTCCATAAACCGCTCCTTACCATCAGTTCTCTTGACCGTTCGTAAAGATTAAAAAAAACAGCAATGCTGACTGCATGTGTAATGAAAGTGAAAAGAGAAATAATGAAAGCCATTTGTTAGAGATGTCACAAAGGAGGCAGTAAGGCGATGAGGCAAAACTTATGTTTAATAAGAAACAAGTATCAAAATGTCATTGTTAGATCTGTGAGCAAGCTTCACCAAAATAGTCAAAAATATTGTTTAGTACTTTGTGCTAATATTGGAAATAGTTAGAGGACCACTCTAGGCACCCAGACCACTTCAGCTTAATGAAGTGGTCTGGGTGCCAGGTCCAGCTAGGGTTAACCCATTTTTTCATAAACATAGCAGTTTCAGAGAAACCGCTATGTTTATGAATGGGTTAAGCCTTCCCCTATTTCCTCTAGCGGCTGTCTCATTGACAGCCGCTAGAGGCGCTTGCGTGCTTCTCACTGTGATTTTCACAGTGAGAGCATGCCAGCGTCCATAGGAAAGCATTATGAATGCTTTCCTATGTGACCGGCTGAATGCACGCGCAGCTCTTGCCGCGCGTGCGCATTCAGCCGACGGGGAGGAGAAGAGGAGGATCGGAGGAGGAGAGCTCTCCGCCCAGCGCTGGAAAAAAGTAAGTTTTAACCTCTTTCCCCCTTCCAGAGCCAGGGCGGGAGGGGGACCCTGAGGGTGGGGGCACCCTCAGGGCACTATAGTGCCAGGAAAACAAGTATGTTTTCCTGGCACTATAGTGGTACTTTAAGTAGTAAAAATCGTGATATCAATATAAAGTGATCACAAAGTGCAAAAAAAAAACAGACACAATTGTGCTAAGTGTAATGAATACAAATAACATACTTAATTGCTGTGTTAATTCCTGGCAGCATTAGAACACAATCAATTTACAATCATATTGCGAAAGAGTTATTGTAGTTTGTATTGTACAGAAAAATCCTGTTTCAGTCTACAAGAGCCCCGAGCCTCGGTTCTAGATAATATCTCTAACACACAGCCAGAACTAAACTAACTTTAAGTGGATTTAAAATGTAATGCCAAAGTAGTCAAACTCAAAGCTTAGCTGACATAGATAATTTTGGGCTATTTCTATCTTTAATTTGAATTTCACTTTGAATTTTCAATTTAGTAAACACTCAATTAATAAGTTCACATGCAGCACCAAACGTGTTTTACATCCCCAAATTACATAAATAGCAAATCACAAATAGAAATAAAAAAATGGTGCACAATTAACAAAATCAGAGTGGCTGACTGCGGGACAATCAACCGTTTGAGTATGTTGGATATGAGATAAGCCAGGTAATTATGTGGGATGACAGCACGATATCTAGTTATCATAAGAATATTTACAACGAAGGATCTATAAAGTATTTTAAATACAGGCTGTCCTCACTTACCGACCGGGTTCTGTTCTTACAACCCAGGCGTAAAACGAATCGGTCAGTAAGTGAGAATGCGCTAGCGAGTATGCGCAAGAGAGCAGGTCTACGGTCGAGGGAATTCCCCCAAACACAGAACAGTTCACTAACACAGGAAATCCCACGAATGTATGTTGAGGGAAACTTCTCCAACATAGATTAGCTCAATAGCCCAGGGAATCGCTGAAATCTATGTTCGGGGAAAATTCTCTAAACATAGACCAGCTTTATAACGTAGGGAATCCCTTGAATTCCCATTAAAGCCGTCGTAAAACAGGTCTTGTAGGTTGTTAAGTGAGGATCACCTGTATTTGAAAGAGACAAAACAATGTCACCAACTGGCAACCACTCTAGTAAGGGGTGACAACCAGATTTATATTGTAACTTGGAATTAAGCTAAATAGCTAAGAAATATGGTATAAAGGGTATAGAAAACAGCAGAACAAGCCAGTCAAGTTCATAACCAACGTTTAACTCCAACAGACAGAATCATAAGAGAATGCATGAGATCTGGAGGTTTCTATATGTATAATTCAGTATACATTTTTAATGGTTGTGATGTTCTCTTGTGGTTACAGTCCACTAAAGAGTTGCAGACCAACCAAGCGTCCACCTATGCTCTTCATGACGTTGTATTTGTTTATAGGGTGATGGGCCACAACAGCTTGATTGCTGCTCACCAAATTCTCAGACTAGGAGCTTGATCCATTTTGTACTATACACAACAATATAACAGCTATTGCTTACAAACAATATGGAACTGAAAGGATGAAAATCGTGACAAAAGCAATATATATAGATATGTTTTCATGGAATTTGGAACACTGATCCTTCATTGTAAGTGTCAACATTTAATACGCACATCATATAGCAAAGAAGTTGCAAAATAGTTTTTGAAACATTATCAGCACAACAACCAGAAATGATGTGCTTGTTCTCTAAAATGTGATAATTTTAGGACATCACTGCTCAAATAAGACCATTTAAACCCTTGGCTGGCTTTTGGCTTAACAGACAAGAGAAGAACAATGAATGTTATACTCCTTCTTCAAATCTATCACAAAGACACCTAAATATATAAGAAACTCAAGGAGTAGTTTGCTTTCAAATTACAGAGACATTTTTAAATGCTGTTATCCCAGAGCTATTTAGGAATACATATATTATGTGTTCTGTTTAGGTTTTTTTTAATTTTATTTAATTCATAGAAATTATCCAAATATATTTAAGTAGAAGACAAACAATTCTTTAGTTTACTGTAGATAGACTGATGTAATTCTAGAAAAAAATCCAGACATCTCCACAGGAAAAAATGACTATACTGTATATTCTGAATACCCTCAAAATAAAAGTCGCTTTACACTCATCCAATGACATGAAACTCCATAGATAAGACTGGGTTTTATATTATCTGACCCGTTTGAAGACGACATATATTGACATCTGATAATGGCCAACTGGCCCTTCAATCTAACCATTTCTAAGCTAAAGTATAGACTTAATTCCTGAATTGTTTCTTTCTCAGAATACCAACGCATCCAAGCGTTCTTTGATTTTTTGGTAGCTTTTTCTCTCCAGGAAGGTTAATCTATGCATCAGAAGCTATCGGTTAAGTTGGAATTATAGTGAATCTAAAGTCAAATGACAAAATTTAAGTTAAAATAGCTGATAATCACAGCTTGGTTATATTACCTTCAATTTTGTAATTTGAATTTAAATTCACCATTATTTGGACTTTGAATAACCTTGTATGTGTGTTGAAGTGATGGAACTCTATATCTTTTGCACAATCTGTTATTCATTTGCTATAAACAGACCTATTTACACATGAAGCAGCATGGGGGGTGCTATTTAATAGCTGAAGATCTACCTTTTGGGCTGAGGGGTTACTAATCCATCCCTGCATATTACAGTAGATTCGACTAGATTACCTAACTCCCCTGGCATGCTGTCTCATGTATATCCTTTACTGTGTCTATGTATCTACTCATAATTTATTCTCTGCTCTCTGTAAACCTATTTCCTCTCTCTCCTCCATAACTCAGAAGGATCCCATCTGTGAATTCCTTGCCATTTAAAGCCATATTGTCTCTATGATCCCGGTGAGAGTTTCTGAAATGCTGGAGGTTTGAAGCGCTGTATACATAAGTGTAATGCTGAAAGTATGCATGTTAGTTTCAGGAAAGCAGTGTGTTCGTAGATGAGAGCCATCCTTAACTATTCGGATTTCAGTGGAATGAACTTAACTCTACATCTAGTGTCGGTGTATATAAGGGCGCTTACAGAAGTATAAAGAAATCTCACTATTTTTAACTCTAAAAATGCTGTTTCTCAGAGCCCGAGACTACCTTGTGGGTCAGAGGTTAGACAGACCCACCAATAAGCGTCACAAGATGCACACGAGTGAGAGGATATTGAGGATCCCTGAGGCACATGGTTCCGTCTGAACCCCCTTTTTAATAAATAATACTTAACTTTTATTAGACATTTTACGTTGCTTATCTGAATATGACGACTAAAGGTCTATCAATTGTTTTTTTAAAGATGTTAAAGGGACACTATAGTCACCAGAAGAACTAAAGCTTATTTTATTTGTTCTGGTGAATATAATCATTCCCTTCAGGCTTTTTGCAGTGTACAAAACAGAAAAAGTGTGCAGCGCATAAAGCAAACCCACAAATCTTATAGGAGTATAAACACAATCAGTGCATAAAAATACAAAGAGAGATAAATACCCCAGTATTTTAAGATCTTTAAGGGTCATAAGTTTTTGTCAGATCCCATATAGAAACTGGTTCAAGTAGTATCACTTTAAGATGTCTCAGATCAAATCTTGAAGTTACTCTCAGGGATGTAGCTTGATCCTCAGAATATGTAAATTGTTGAACAAGCAAACATCAAATTAAAAGAGTATAAAAAGCACATTTATTATAAGTAAATAAAAACCTTACATTGAGGTCTTGTGAAATCAGCAAAAAAATGACAGCATAAATAGCAGCACAACGCGTTTCAACGATCAATCTCGTCTTCCTCAGGTGCAGTTCACATTGTTACATAAAATTCATACATTTAAAAGCCTTTTGGCGCGGAAAATCGGGTATTTAGGACCCGCCCCCTTTGCCATCGGACCAATCTGCAGAGACTAGATGATTTCCTCTTCACAGTCTGTTATTTCCGGATTTATGCGTTCCATTCCTTTTACTTCCGATATCGCATGCGTTCCAATATGCGTCTCACAGGGGGCACTTCCGGTTTCGCTTGCGGTCCGGTTTACCCAGCGAAAAAGTTCCTTACCAAGTTCATATGACTGCTAAACCTCAAGTCCACATAAACATAATGGCATAATGTACATGTGCACATAGGTGCTCATCTCTATATGTACATAGAGAACAGGGAAATAAATAAGAAAGGCAAAAGTTAATAATAGCCACAAATAACTAATTATATCTATATATACAGATACATAATAAAATATATAATAAAAGAGTGAGGTAGAACCAATAAAAGTGTATTCACCAGGTGTACAAAAAATTAGATATAATTGTACATTTCAAAATCAATGTTTAAACCACATGGAGAGAGGGTTTCCAGCTCAAAGATCCATTTCATTTCTGTTCTATTCAGGACTTTTAGGGGTCTAGTGGTACGCCCTATGTACTGCAGTCCACAGATACATGTTAATAAATATATATAAAGACTTTATAACATGTAACTCAAACACTGTATACAGTTAAAGACTTTATAACATGTAACTCAAACAATGTATACAGTTAAAGACTTTATAACATGTAACTCAAACAATGTATACAGTTAAAGACTTTATAACATGTAACTCAAACAATGTTATTTATTTATTAACATGTATCTGTGGACTGCAGTACATAGGGCGTACCACTAGACCCCTAAAAGTCAGGATCTGTGAACATTTTAGGAATGTACAAAAGGGAGTTCTTAATCATTCAGTATCAGCACATGTCTATCAAAAACATAATGGGGACACTAAATGCTTACATTTCCTGGGAATCCAAAAGGTTCAAAAACCATGGAGAGGGGGGGACCATCTCAAGATCCTGAATAGAACAGAAATGAAATGGATCTTTGAGCTGGAAACCCTCTCTCCATGTGGTTTAAACATTGATTTTGAAATGTACAATTATATCTAATTTTTTGTACACCTGGTGAATACACTTTTATTGGTTCTACCTCACTCTTTTATTATATATTTTATTATGTATCTGTATATATAGATATAATTAGTTATTTGTGGCTATTATTAACTTTTGCCTTTCTTATTTATTTCCCTGTTCTCTATGTACATATAGAGATGAGCACCTATGTGCACATGTACATTATGCCATTATGTTTATGTGGACTTGAGGTTTAGCAGTCATATGAACTTGGTAAGGAACTTTTTCGCTGGGTAAACCGGACCGCAAGCGAAACCGGAAGTGCCCCCTGTGAGACGCATATTGGAATGCATGCGATACCGGAAGTAAAAGGAATGGAACGCATAAATCCGGAAATAACAGACTGTGAAGAGGAAATCATCTAGTCTCTGCAGATTGGTCCGATGGCAAAGGGGGCGGGTCCTAAAAACCCGATTTTCCGCGCCAAAAGGCTTTTAAATGTATGAATTTTATGTAACAATGTGAACTGCACCTGAGGAAGACGAGATTGATCGTTGAAACGCGTTGTGCTGCTATTTATGCTGTCATTTTTTTGCTGATTTCACAAGACCTCAATGTAAGGTTTTTATTTACTTATAATAAATGTGCTTTTTATACTCTTTTAATTTGATGTTTGCTTGTTCAACAATTTACATATTCTGAGGATCAAGCTACATCCCTGAGAGTAACTTCAAGATTTGATCTGAGACATCTTAAAGTGATACTACTTGAACCAGTTTCTATATGGGATCTGACAAAAACTTATGACCCTTAAAGATCTTAAAATACTGGGGTATTTATCTCTCTTTGTATTTTTATGCACTTATTGTGTTTATACTCCTATAAGATTTGTGGGTTTGCTTTATGCGCTGCACACTTTTTCTGTTTTGTACACCGTTGTTTTTGTGGGATTATTGTGATTGTACCCTCTAGTGTGTTCTAGCTGCTATTCATTTTTAGCGCCATAAATTGTACTTTTTCTGTTTTAAGCTTTTTGCAGTAAACACTGTCTTTTCAGAGAAAAAGCAGTGTTTACATTACAACCTATGGATAACTCCACTGGCCACTCTTCAGATGGCTACTAGAGGTGCTTCCTGGGGCAGTGCCGCACAGTGTGACTGACATTCAGTGTCTCCATCCTCTGCATGGAGACAGTAAACATTCCTCATAGAGATGCATTGATTCAATGCATCTCTATGAGTAGATGCTGCTTGACCAGGGCTGTGTTTGGCTTGTGTTGGCTCTGCCCCTGATCTGCCTCCTTGACAGTCTTAGCCAATCCAATGTTTTCATATGGGAAAGCATTGTGATTGGCTCAGATCAACACTTCTGATGATGTCAGCCAAGCAGGCTGAACAGGGGCAGAGCCAGCAGCAGCAAACTGGGATAAATGTAAGATTTTACTATATTTAGGAGAAATGGGAGTGAGGGGGAGGGGGACTGGGTTGCTAGATGGTCATTATACATGTTTGTGTTTCTAACCCTATAGTGGTCCTTTAAGTTTTAAAGCCAAAACACGAGAGAAAAATACTGCTTAGAATACTGCCAATGTTAACAAAATCCCCCCATCAACAAACCACCATCAAAGAAAAAGAGATACAAAAAAGCAAAGAAACAAATAGCAACAATAAGCTAAATCTGTGCCTTTGAGGCCACTTATCACTGGCCTTGCCATAATATTTTGGATACATTATTATTTATTTATAATGAAGCAAATAATTTCATGCTGGGAGCTGTTTAAATGATTCTATAGTATAAATTTTATTCCTTAGGAGAACAGGGATACTGCGCCCAGACCACTTCATTGAGCTGAAGTGGTTTGGGTGTCTATAGTGTCCCTTTAATGATGTCTAGTATCATTTAAACTCTAGCCTTCATATTTACCCCAGTAACTCTAAATTATTTATTTTCCATAAAAGTAAAAAAATAATGTCATTTAATGACACTGCCCCAGCTATGTATTTCCATGTAACATGATATAAAACCTAGACCTAGGAGTTCATACATAGTTACATAGTTACATAGCTGAAAAGAGACTTGTGTCCATCAAGTTCAGCCTTCCTCACATTTGTTTTTTGCTGTTGATCCAAAAGAAGGCAAAAAAAACAGAATGGCAGTCAGAGACACTAGATAACTCAACATACTGCACAAAGTATGCTGGAAACATAAGATGTCTCTGTTATGTAGTTTTAAAAAAATGTACATTTAATTTTTCTTATTTGTTTTCCTCTTTTTAACAGACAATAATTACCATATTTTAAAACCTCAAACCCATTTTGTCCCCATTTAAGGGACTCTATAGGCATCAGCATGAAGCAGTTGTAGTGTATAGATCATGCCCCTGTAGTCTCACTGCTTAATCCTTTACCATTTAGCAGTTACATCACTTGTATCTGTTTAGGGAGCCTTAGCCACACCTCCCCTGGCTGTGACTCACACATTCAGCATGTAAAAAAGTGTTAATTTTTTCCCTCCAGATATTAACTTGCTTTAGAAGTTTTTATCTACTGTACATTGAACTTTAATCACACATAGAAGTCTCTTGCAGGATCTAGCAGTCTATTAGCAGAGCAGGAGATAATACATTTTAAATTACTCAGAATGTGCAATAAAGGATGTTTAAGCATTAGCTCTCACTTTACAGGAAGAGTTTTGGAAGGCTGTGCAGGGAGGTGTGACTAGGGCTGCATAAACAAAGTGATTTAACTCCTAAATGGCAGAGAATTAAGCAGTGAGACTGCAGGGGCATGGTCTATACACCAAAATTACTTAATTAAGCTAAAGTTGTTTTGGTGCCTTTAGTGCCTCGCTAAGCAAGTTATATTTGTATTTTTAATTCACAGAATATATAGCAAAAAATATGTATTACAGAATACGATGGTGATGGATTCAATTGTGACAGTAAAATATCAAATAAAACACACTCTCTATCCCTGGTAATGCTCCCTCTTAGCACGTCTTGCTTTTTGCAACCTCTGAGTCTCCATTGTCCTCCTAGTCATTGCAGAACAGATTCAGACATTTTTGAACATTTGTAGCAGCCAATGGTAACATCACAGAGAATTTCGAACACTTCCAAGACTGCCGCTCCGAGCACTGCACTAAGAAAACAGAAAAGAATAATGATTATTTTAAGGTATTCCTTTTTTTTTGTTCAAAAATAGATATAAAAATGTTCTGGTGGTGAAGGGCTGACAGACAGGGTGGTGTGACTCACAGCAGTAAAACCGTATGTGACATGGCTATTTTCTTTCCAACTGTTCTATATTTACTAAAAGGTAATTCTGACTGGAAAGGCCAGCTGTCTTTGTTCCTGCCCCTCTTCAGACTGCAAAATCCAGATCTTTCCAGATTCATGCCTGCCCTTTATCCATGCACAATTATTCAATTCGTTATTCTGTAGCAGAATTTTTAAAAGAATCCAACAGGAGCACTGGATTTATTTTTCTTTCTTTTTTACTTCCCATCTTCTCTCCCTCTCTCCCTTCTTTTCCCCTGCAGCTGTCTCTTGTCACAAGAATGTCATTGAGTAACCTAAGAACCGTTTTCAAAAAGATAAACATATTGTAACATTCTAAAACTATAAAGGTGCTGCTGTCAAATGCTAAAAAAAACTAGATGGAATCGTCTTTTAATAATCCTCAAATTATGGTTAAAGGGACACTGTAGGCACCCAGACCACTTCAGCTCATTTAGGTGGTCTGGGTGCACTGTCCCTTTTACACCTTGCTCATTACGAGACAATATGATGGCTCCATAGACACCAGTGGTGTACTCTTCTGTATGTTTGAGAGTACAGCACTGACAGGAGCTCATGACAGATAAAGCGTCAATACCTGAAACTTAAGGGTAAGTATAACTTACCTCTAACACACCCCCAGGGCTATCGCACACCAAGCAACAACGTCACCATCGGAGATCTTTGCAAAATATGCAGAGCCCCCAGAAGGTGACCGAGCCGTTGTGAGATCCCCACTGGAAGAGCGGACAGTATTGTCCGCACAGTATTGAAATTGTTAATTGATGACCCATAACGTTACTCCCACACACTGCTGTCTACTGGCACCTGTGAGAGTGTTGCTGGCTGTAAACGGATATGCAATACCTCCGTTCTATTCCCAGTGTCGTTCTATAAATACAACCAACATTCTCTGTGGGGCTCTGCCTCGGGTACAGGGATATTCTTGTTTTTTTAACTTCTCCGGGATGTTGGATGCATTGCTGTCGCTTGGTATCTGGGAAGACTGTATAAGAATCATGCAATGAGTCACGCAGACTGTGGGCTCCAACCATACAGTCACAGGGCTTATTATATCCCGAGTGATTCAGCAGCATTGCTCATTGGTCACATTGTTGTTTTTTGTCACTTGGGCAGTATGACATGAAAACCACCCTTCCAAATGGCTTCACTGGACACTTTTCGCTACTGTCATAATATTTCTTCTAAACTGGAAAACACATTCACCAATATTCAGATGCTTAAAATTTAGAAGATCAATAAAGGGAACCGTAGGGTTAAGAGGTCTTTTATCCCATTTTAGCTAGATTTGGTCATTATACACACTAAGGACTACATGAGACATCATTCTCTTGTATAGAACCAAGCTGAAAATCAAATAGTTTGAAATTTCATATTAGAATTCAAGAACGTTTTAACCCCAAAGTCCAGGATCCAGCTCCTGATTGCTCTGCCCCCTGTCCATCCGTCGGTGAGAATCTTGAAGCAGGAAGCCTCAGCCAGGGCAGCTGCAGATTGGCAGCTGATGCATTGTAAGCTAGGTGGGAAATGGGAGATGAATTGAAGCAGCAAGAGTTATGACTCGCGACCACAAAATACATACAGGGTCCTCTGTGTAAATCCTGAATTTAGTATCCATTGCCCCAATGACAGGTGTATGTTATTTATAGGAGACAGGAGGAGTAAAGGTGACACATTAATTAACTAGTTAGCTATCCAGGTTTGCAGTGAAAGATTAACATGTTCTCTAATTTTACATTTGCTTCATAAAACAGCTTAGTTAAAAGTATATTGCGGGCACCACAACAACTTCAATTGAATGAAGATGTTATGGTGCGAAAAGATCCCGGGTGCCAGCTTACATCAAGGGGTTAAATTGTTAATGAACGGTTTAGCTTCAAAGTCTCTATGCTGACGCCCATCACCCGTGTTCTAGCACTCTCGTTCCTGTCTGAGGCTACAGTCACCGGCTTACCCCTTGTCCTTACAATGAAGTTGTTATTGTGCCCGGAGTGCTAATTAATAAAGGTATCACCTTTACTCTATATTGGTCTTGTATTTCTACTTTTTATACAGTAGAACGCAGTGATCCATGCTGAGCAACCCGATACAAATTGTGTCAGGACACAGCAGTATAATCCCTGATCTATCTCACATGCGTATGTGTACATTACCCAGAATTCTCAGCTGAAGCGCCAGCGTTGGACGCTCTTGCTCTACATATAGTGGAGGCGCATTACACTAATCTATTCAGAGTTTCGGATGTTTTGTGTTTTTAAAACAAACATACAAAACAAATAAAAACGTCGCCAGTTATTACAGATTGGTTTCATTGTAGATGCAAAGATTCAGGTCTTTTCAATGATTTTAATTTTTTGGAAGATTTGCTGTTTTTTTTCCTAGAAGTTTCTTCCACAGTTTCAGAATTCGCTACATGAAGGCTTCTCAACTCTTTTAATATTTTTACATTGTAAAATGTGGATTCTGCGCATAATGCATTTGATGTAAATATTGGGCCAACACGTCTTAATGCGTTTACATGATCCATATCTACTTCTATTCAGAATAATCTCAGACAGGCTCCAGGGTTGTCTATCCCGACACATAAAAAACACAAAGTGGGGGTAAGAGCATAACGTTGCAGTGACAGTACCAGCAGAATGAATAAAATACATGGAGATATAGATTCATTTGTAATTTTACTCTCTAAAAAGGGGCATAGAGTACGTCATTCTCCAAGTGTCTATTATAGGGACTCCATCAATAAAACATATGGACGACAAGATCACATTACAATAGATATACTTATACTCTAAAAACAGAATTTATAAGAACACTGACAAGGTTATTTACGAAAGTGAGAATTCCATGTTAATTTGACATTTATACTTTACACTTGTGGCCAGGGCCAGATTAAGAGCCACGTGGGCCTGGTGCTGACAATTATGACGGGCCTAATTACAGAATCATATCGACCAAAAACAGTAAAACACTCCCAAGCATCATGCATCTGATGGAGATGGTGCTGGAGAGAAATTAAACAGCAGCTATAAGAAAAGGCTAATCTCTCTCTAATTTATGTTTTCATCTTTCAAGTAAATCCATAACCCTTAACAGCAGTGTCCAGTCAGGCAGGAAGTCAATGGGCATGGTAAAAGGGTGTGTCACTGACACAAATCACGTAACCTGCCAAAAGGGGCGTACATGCCCAAAAAAAGGACATGTCTGCTCAAAGAATTAGAAGGCCAGCCTGGCATGAATGCATGTCAGGCTGCCTGCCAATCATGCAGCTGGCCAACTAAGGGTATACTATGCAGACAGCACCCTGAGCTTGGCATAAATGCATCTAATGATGCGCTCACTCAATGCTTTCTAAGGACTGACCCTAGCACTCGCTAGTCCACTTGTCTCCTTACCTTCTTACTAGCAGGCAGAAGCTCCTGGTATATGGTCTGGGACAGAGAAAAGCTGTATGTAGTGAGTGTAGAAGAAAGGGAACATGCCACCGTGTTAGAGAGACCAAAGTCAGCATTACCTTAAAGGATCACTATAGGGTCAGGAACACAAACATGAATTCATGACCCTATAGTGTTAACACCACTATCTAGCCCCCCTGGGCCCCTCATGTCTCCATAAATATAGCAAAGTCTTACTATATTCAAGCCCGAAGCTGTAACTCTGCATGCTGTTAGACTCATAAAAACAAGCAGTCTGCTGACATCATTAGAAGTGGTGGCCTAATCCAATCATAGTGCTTCCCCATAGGATTGGCTGAGACTGACAAAGAGGCAGATCAGGGTCAGAGCCAGCATGATTCAAACACAGCCCTGGCCAATCAGCATCTCC